TCTTGCAGCATGTAGAAGAGAGTAGATTGAAGTCCTCCAAGTAGCATCTCCAAGTAGCATATCCAAATAGCATCTCATAGCATAATCCTACCCTGGTTGCTCTGGCAAGAGAGAGGGGTCGTCAACTCCGTAGTCGAACTGGTCAGCAGCAGCGTCGGTCTCGTAGTCTACCGGAGAGAAGAGGGGGAACACAATAAATAACAGAGCAATCAAATGTAACACAAAGCAAGACGCGGCAATACGTTGTGCTAGGGGTGTCCTAACGTAGGGATAGGCGATACCGGTGAAGGGGGAAACATCCGGGAAAGTATCCCCGGTGTTTCGCGTTTTCGGACAGACGAACCGGAAGTGAAATGTTGCAGGTTCACTATGCTAGGGACGCGTGGCGGACGAACATGCTGCGTATCTGGATTCGTCTCGTCGTTCTGAGCAACTTTCATGTTTAAAATATTTTAATCCGAGTTACGGATTAAAAGATATGATTTTTAAAAGATTTTAACAATTTTGGAATTTAATTATTTATTTAATTAATTCGAAAAAATGTATTTATGACGTCAGCATGATGTCATGCTGACGTCAGCAGTCAACAGGGGTTGACTGAGTCAACCCTGACATGTGGGTCCAGGAGGGACCCACCTGTCATCCTCTAATTAGGTTAATTAGGGTTTAGGTTAATCTAATTACAGTTTAATTAAACTTAACTAGTTAATTAAATTAATTAAACCGGATTAATTAACTTAATTAATCCATTAGTTAATTAATTAATTAATAATTAATTTTATTAATCATTTTTATTTTTATTTAATAATTTTATTTTAATTCTCTCCTTTTTTTTAAAAAATGTTCTGTGGGGTGGGGCCCCCATGTCAGTGGCCCTGGGGGGCCTTAACGGGTGCGGGCGCATGGGCGCACGGGTGCAGGGGGCTACGGGGCGCCCGTTAGCGGATCGAGCCCCTGACCCAGCGCCGCAGGTCGCCGGCCAGGGGAGTCGCCGGCCGCGGCGGCCGGAGTGGCCGGAGCCGGGGCGTCGACGGAGAGGGGTTGGCCGCGGCGCGGGCCAGCAGCGCGGTTGGGGGCGGCGGAGCCGCGGCAGCATGACAGGAGGAGGGTCGGGGCTTGCCGAGGCCGTGTGTGGCGGCCGGAGACAACGCACAGGGCGGAGCGGGGAGAACAGGGGCGCC